TATATTATTTTAGGCCATTTAGATATTCCTTTGAAATGTGGTTACGAAGTGAACATGTTAGTAGAAGACTACGTGGTCGTCTAAGTATAAGTTGTGCATCTGGGACCAAAATATCCAATCATAGGGTACAAATCAACAGTTTAAGGAAACTTCCTTCTATTAACAACAATAGTCATCGTATCAACACACCAAATAAATGTGGCAGACTGACACGATGGAGACGTAGATGTACTCATTTCCTGAAAGAGGTATACATTAGTTCTTATTTTTGTGTTATGATTTTTATTTTTTCCATGTGTTACATCTTTTCTTGTTGCCATCTAAAATACTGATATTCAATTATCATATTTCGAACTATATTATTATCATTAGCTTACTGTAAATGATCTTTGCAGGTCATTTATTAAAACAATCTTCACTATATCTTAAAAAGAAATACTTTCTAACTAATCAGCGGTTAATGAGTGACTGACTAACTCGCAAGGATGTTATGCACTTAGATTTCTTAGAACTACAATCGAAGCCATTTGGTTAATGTAAGGACTTCACTTCAGATTTGTTAAAAAGATTATTATCTTCGTAGGCTTGTAAAGAAAATGTTTTACGTTTTGCGAAATCTACGCCTAGTAGACGAGAGAGAGGACCTCGTAGAAGAAAATGCATAAAACGGTCAATGGTTACTTCAACTCCCTTACATCGAACTTCTGCAAAAGATGCAGTTATTGTAAGTTATTATGATCTATTTCATTTTTGAATAAAATAATAATTACAAATATTTCAGCCAGCAAAATGTACAGCAGTATCAAAAGTTTCTGAAGAATCTAAGGAAAACTGGAATACAACTACTTTATCTCTATATTCATCCATACTAAACACAGATTCATGTTGTTCCTCCATTACTACTGCAAATGATATCAAATCTTCAATTCCGAGTGTATCATCACTATCAAATCTAATGCCTCCAGCATCTGTAAGATCAAATTCAGACCTTTCATATGTATTAGATGATGAAGAAAACAAAACTATTGGTACATGCATTTATAAAAATTGCACACTGCTTTATACATCTGGTTAATACATATACAATAAGTATAATTTATTTATTGCAGATACTGGTGCACTATATTATACAGCTCTCTGTACACAAGCAGAAATATCTGAAGAATGCCATAGTTTAATGCATTCTACATCCATGTATGGAACTCGTTCTTATTCATCAGAAAAGTATTTTCCAAATGGAAAATACGCACTTAGCAACAACAATGCAAGCAGCAGTAATTTATCAAAAAATCAATGTTCTGTTGACAGTCATTCCACAAAATATGAGGCGGCCTTTGTCAATACAAAGTACGGTACATCAACCATGTACAGTCTAAACCATCATCATTCCCCAGATACAAATGGGAATGTTACTGAAAAATATGATTCCGATGATATTGAGAGCGATTACCATGATGTCGAATACATGGAAGTTGGAAGTGAGGAAATAGTAGAAAGTTATGATATGGAAAATATGGTTACTCATGTTCAAGAAGATTGGGAACCATTTGATCCTTATGTCTTCATTAAACATTTACCACCTTTGACTCCAGCAATGAGAGCCAGATGCCCTGCTCTTCCGCTTAAAACACGCAGCAGCCCAGAATTTAGTCTCGTGTTAGATTTGGTATGTACATTTGCAGTTATTCTATTAATATGATAAATAATGAAGAATTGCGAAAAACAAAATAAAGCTTTAATAAAATCTAAAAATATTCCAGAATGGACGAATGGATATAAAAAGATATTTTTTTTTATACAGGATGAAACGTTAGTTCACTGTAGTTTGCAAGAACTTTCGGATGCAGCATTTCGTTTTCCAGTTGTCTTTCAAGATGTAACATACACAGTGTTTGTCAGAACACGGCCTTATTTTCGCGAATTTTTAGAACATGTCTCGTCTTTATATGAAGTGATCCTTTTTACCGCGAGTAAACGAGTTTATGCAAACAAATTAATGAATCTATTAGATCCGACACGAAAATTGATTAAGTATCGACTGTTCCGAGAACACTGTGTTTGTGTAAATGGAAATTATATCAAGGATCTATCTATACTGGGTAGAGATTTATCTAAAACTGTTATTATTGATAATAGTCCACAAGCATTTGGATATCAGGTAGATAAATAATTGGAACATTTGAAATATTAAACAAAAACTATTATACATTTGTTTTTGCTCTAACAAAATGTTTGTTTTGTAGTTAGAAAACGGTATACCTATAGAAAGTTGGTTTGCTGATCGTTCAGATAATGAACTAATGAAATTGTTACCTTTCTTAGAAAATTTAGTAAATTGGGTAAGTACTTTTGTATAAAATTTATACCAAATAATTTGAAACAGAAATTGGAAATTAAATAAATATTAATTGGTATTGTAGGGAGGAGATGTTAGACCACGCATTAGAGAACAATTTCGACTCTTCAGTTTTCTACCACCAGATTAATTTAGTTAGTAAGCACAAAATTAACATTTTAAAAATGCTAGCCTATGTAGGTACGTGTATATATATCTTACAGATATTCAATAGATAAATGTAAGATATTAATACAAAGCGTGCAATAATACACGCCAAAAAATGATATGATTTGCAATAATGTCTTATTAATAAGTACGTCCGATAGAAAATATGGTAAAACAATTAAAAATCAGAACTCATTTATTTCAGTAAGAGTCTAAATTATTACCGTGCTATAATTATAATTATAAAAGATTTCAGAAAAAGTGTATTTATCGTTTTAAATTAATAGATTTTATATTTGCGTGTATTAAATTCAAATTGATCTTGTTACAAGATTAATGTCAGAAGTACATTTGGAAATCAATGTCTTAACATTACATTGTTAAGAAATATCACAACATAGTAATTATTAGAATCTATATTTATCAAACTTTGGGCAGGTACCAATCAATTAAAATGATAAGTAATGAAACTTTATGAATTATATGCAGACCAATCAAGATTTGATACTAATGACTGCTAGGGCTCATATGTTATGCGAGCAAATATCACAAATAATATTTTAATTCAAATTTTCAAAAACAAGTTTATATGTTTGTTGTTACATTGCTCTAGCAGATACATTATAGCAGATTATATGTATATCTCAATTTACGTATACTTCGTGTTATTCATTGCGAAAATAAACACAAAATAATTAGAATATATATATTTATGCATAATATTAAATTGAGAGCTGCCAGAAAAATTAAATATTGTTTTGTTGGAAAAGTTGAAATGAATTAAATTCAATTTTTTTAAGATACTGTAGTTTGATTATAAAATTACTCATATTATTCATTATATACAGAAATATGCAAATCACCTAATACATTTATTCAATCATAAAGTAAGTTAAGCAAAAGTCGAACACTCGTGAAAAGAAATTATTTCAACAAGTAATTCAACAATTTGCTCCAAAAAAAGAAAAAAAAATAGTTCATTAAATAGAGACAAAATATACTGGTAGAATAAACATAGATAGCATTGAATGAAATACAAACTTCCACTTACAAGGAACTTCCGTTTTCATCAGTTTTTACTTCTATACATAATACATACATAGCAGAAATTGTACCTATTATTAAAATAAAAAGGAAATAGAAATATTGAACTTGTACCTTCAGTACAAAAGTACATTTTGTATTAATCGCAATTATAATTCACTATTTCAAATTTATTTTCTGATAAATGTTTCCGCACAAGTAATTCACCTTTCAGTTACAATGGTATCTTGTAAAATTCGAACTTAGAATAGGTGACTATTGTTTGCAGTTGTCATTTTGCAAATAATTATTGTTAAACTTCAAATACTTTTAACTATATACATGTGTACACTCAATCTCGCGAAGAGATATAAAGTCTTCTATTCAAGCTTAGTTACAAATATGATCTCAATCTGATAATATGAAATCAGTGTATAAAAATTATAAATGATGAAAATTTGTTAAGCACTGTAAGTGTAAATCATAGTAAATTACGAATTTTTTGAGTGCATATGTATATTTATAATTTTTTAATTGCGAGTACATATTGATAATGTGTACGTATCTGTATAAATGTGCGTATGACTATATTATATCCTGCTGCATCTACTGAAATTATAGAATTGCGTGTAATTCATAGCCAGAAATTTACTTCAAAATGAAACATCCATACAAAATAATTTAGTGAAAATGTTAGCATATTACATCTTGTAGCGTTCACTATACTTCAAGATTGTACTCGCATTTCGCATCACGGATTTACAGATGTGTAAGATCAGTCTTTATTACTAAAATTTGTATATTTGTTTGATCATGTTTTTCTTAAACTGAGTTCTTCTAAAATGCTACCACACTGCGATATAAATTTGTAAAATGAGACTCAATTGAGATGATTATTTTGACTGTTGTACTAATGCGTTGCGCGAAAATGGGAATGACTTAATTGTAGTCCATTTGATCACTATTAATAATGTATGTATTTTTCTTTTCATACAATGATTTCTTTCTTTAATTTTAATGAACAGCAATACGAGCCGCTTACATGTTTTTTTATAATAATAAAACTGTATCCCCATGCATATTATAATAGTAGCTTTCACATAGTACTTGTTATTGAAAGATACTATTAATAAATAAAGATAATAATAGTAGGGAGACAAGAAAAGTACACGCTTGTTATATATGAAACAAGTCTTTATATTATTAATTCTTTTATTTGTCATTGAACAGTGAATATATTCATATATAAATTGTTACAGTAAGAAGATAAACATAAATTATTTATTGACTTTTCTATAGTTAAAAGAATTAAACAATACTTCATGATTTTTAAATAAATCAGAACTTACATTCTATTGAATA